AATTTGGATGCTTGAGCAGAAAGTTATGTCCAATTGAATTTGTGAAAAACACACGGATCTTTTGTACTTAGAAAAATTCTAAGTGTTGAACCTCAAAATGACCTATAATGTTCTTCAAAATTACATGACTTTTCACTCAAAATTTGATCTTGATATCTGAAGATGGAATGAAGTAGACTTCTTGAATTGAAGTGTGGAATTAAGATCACTCAAAAATCATGAAAATTGAAAGAGTTGTGGTCTTTGGAAGATGATGAACAAATTTGGGGAATTCAAAAAAGACCTATAATCTTTTCAAATTTTCAACCACTTTCCAAGCATCTTTGAGTCTTGCACATTAAAGAAAAGTTGTAGTAGACATCCGAAAGATTATTTTGGAAAAATAATGGACTCAAGGAGATAAAAATTGACCAAGTTATGATCATTTGAAGTCAAACCCTAAAATTCAAAGGCCTTTCATGGAGACTTGTAATCTTTCTCAACTATTAGTGACCTTCCCTTCAAAATTAGCCTTAGATTTCTGAAGAGAGCTTGTTAAGAACCCTTTAAAGAGAATCGTGACTTTGGAACCAATTAAAAATCTCAAACAATGAGCAAGATATGGTCCTTAGAAGTCAACAAACCCTAGCTCAAAGAGTGTCAAAATAACTTGAAACCCCTTTCAACTTTTGATGATTTTTCTTACACAATTGGATCTTGTCATGTGAAGAGAGGTTGTTGTTTATGATGATAAGAATCCATAGCAAAAAGAACCAACTCAAAATGTTAGAAATTGAGAGAGTTATGCACTTGTGATCACTGAATCAAGTATTTGCTCAATTAGGTCAAACTCATTAGACCAACCTTAAATCCTTTGATCTTTCTTGGAAATATAAAGCATGATGAATAATAATAGGTCTTGAAATGATATTATATTGAAGCACGCTCAAAGATGGAGCTTATGTCTCAATGAAGCTTGTTGAAGAAGGCATGGGAATAAACACATGAACATATCTCTTTGATGAATGTCAACACTAACTTTGAGGAAAGTTTAACCTAAATAAGGTGAGATAACTCCTTAAACCATAAAATCTTTGATATCATGAACATAGCCTTGAAACTTGAACTCATGGAATCCATTGAAAATTCATTTTATTGAGAACCAATCCTTCAACCCCTAGATTAGATGGTGAGATGAATGCAATTGTATCCCCACCTACAATATGAACATTTAAAGAAACATATATACATATTTTGATGTTAGTTTAAAGAACACATGTATAAGATACACACTTCAAGGTGCTTGGTGATCCCTCAAGGGAAAACCTAAAGATATGATGAAGATAGGGAGAACCAATCTTAATGTGTGATCTTGTTGTATTGATAAAAGTGACATGATGAGAAATCTTAGGGGCAAAAATTAGGGTATAACACTGGGGACAACTATACTATGAAAGAATGATTGCGAGTGCGTTGAATGATTTCATTGAAATGGTGAATATGAGAATGCGACTCGAGGAAGGTGTTTGTGCGGGATGGTTGACCAAAGAAGTAGGTTCATCAAGTGGAATCATAAATTTGGTAGTAGTTTCCCAAAGAAGAAAGAACAAGTTGTCAGTGTAGTATCATCCAGAAGACCAAGAAGAGGGTATCCATAGTAACATGTTGTCGCTATTGCTCCTGTTATTAATCCTACACCTATGGTACCAGCTTACCATCCATAATTCCCTCAATAAGTTCAACAGTCTCGACAATAAGCTTACAACAATCAACAATCAACATACTACAATCAACAAAACAAAGTAAGAAATGTGTCGCATTTTGACCTGATCCCAATGACTTATGAAGAGTTGTTACCTGGATTATTGCAAAAGAATCTAGTTTAACCAAGGGCACCAACTGGTATCCCTAAAGACATTCCATACTGGTATAAGGCAGATGTTCATTGTACCTTTCACCAAGGAGCCTCAGGTCATAGTACTTAAAATTGTTTCCTATTGAAGATCAAAGTCCAGAAGTTGGTCAGAAGTGGTCTCTTATCATTTAGAGACGTTGGTCCGAATGTGCAAGTTAATCCGCTACCTAACCGTGGAGAACATAATGTGAATATGGTATATGGATGTCCCAGCCAGTACCATATCTATGATGTCCATTTTATGAGAGGAGACTTGGTACAAATGCATGCTACCTTTTATGGAATGATTGGACAACACAGTTGTGGTGCTTGTCAAATTTGTTGTAGATACTCTCATGGATTCTCTATTGTAAAAAGGGCCATTCAATGCCTGCTAGACGAAGACACCATTCAAGTCACAAGAAGTAGGAACGAGCATGAAGTGAATATGGTGGATAGTTGCCCTGGAAAATTTCAAGTTTTTGACATCTAGTATGTTAGAGAATCGTTGGTTCAAATGCATGCCAGCTTATACATGCTTACTCTTGTTAAAAATAGTCATGCCGCATGTGGAGTCTGCTATAGAAACCGACGTGGATGACTTGCTGTAAAAATAGATATTTAGAGGTTGATGGATGAGAGGACGATCGCCATCACTTACAATAGAGATGATAATGATGTAAACATGATCAAAAGTCATTCTGAAGGACCTACAATTGAAGATCTCAACACGACAACTCCTGTAGAGATACATGAACAATGGGTTCGAAGAGGGTTGATTGATTTTAGCCATGATTGGTGTCCGGAATGAGAGAAGAAACCATGGGGTTGTGCTACTCTGAGAGGAGATCTCCAGATTTTGAAAGACGTGTGTTTGCTTAAAGAGGGAGTGATATCCATTCTTGCTGATAGAAGTAGAAAGGAAGGGGAATCAACTAAAACTACATTATCAATTAAAGATTCTCTTGATATGAGTGTAGAGATAATTATTTACAAAGGAAAAGTTGAGGACGCTGAAGTGAATGTCATAGTCCCTCATTTTAACATACCTGAACCTTTGGAAATAACATATAGCAGTCAAAGAGCTCATGTTTCTCCTTTGGTTTTATACTTGCTAGGACCGACTCCCTATGATTCTAATAAAGTCGTGCTGTATAAATATAATGCTATTATGCTTGAAAATAGGAAAGATGTGCCCATTCCTTCTCCTTCTTCCGTTGTTACCATAACTGATGTTAGTGGTTTAACTCGTAGCGGTCGTGTGTTCTCTGCTATACCTCCAAAGAAAGTTGTGAGTACCCTAATTCAAGCTCCTATCGTGATCCATAATCCTGGGATGGAGAATAGACAGTCCAGCAAACCCAGTTTGAATGATGATACTGACGAAGTCCTGAAGTTGATTAAGAAAAGTGAATACAAGGTGATAAATCAGTTGTTGCAGACACCTTCCAAGGTCTTTGTACTCTCTCTGTTGATGAATTCTGACACCCACAAAGAAGTGCTACTGAAAGTGCTGGACCAAGCATTTGTTGACCATGATGTGACAATCGAACGATTCAGCGGAATAGTGAGAAATATCACTGCATGTAACAACTGTGCTTTAGTGGCGAAGACCTCCCCGAGGAAGGAGGGAATCACAATTTTGCGTTACATATCTCTATGAGTTTCCTTTCAGATGGTTTATCCAATGTGTTGATAGATACCAGTTCTTCACTAAATCTTATGCCTAAGTCTACACTATCTAGGCTCTCGTATCAAGGCACTTTCATGAAAAGTAGCAGGGTTGTTGTAAAAGCATTTGATGGTTCAAGGAAGACAGTGATTGGTGAAGTAAACTTACCAATGAAGATCGTCCCCACTCTTTTCAGATAACATTCTAGTTCCGTAACAGAAAAATAATAATTACTGTCACATTGCCCACAAACAAGAAAAATAATTCATGAAAAACTCGTATACTTATAAATATGTAGAAAAATAATACTTAGGAGTAGATTTGGCAAAACGGACTACCCAACCTAAAATGGCTTAATCCTAACGTGCCTCAAATTTTTTAGGACCGAGACAAAAAAATAAGTTTGTAATATGGATTAAAAATTACAAGCTGAACCAAACTCTATACAGGTTTCGGGTTATCCGACCCTAAACGAGTTAATTTTTTTATACATAAATTAAAATAAAACCCCATAAATAAATACGATAAAAAATTATATTTATAAAATATAATTTATTTTTAACTATTGTATTATTTTTTATAAATATCGTAATATATTTTTAAATATAATACATGTTTAAATTATGTAAAATAATAGTCAAATATTTAACGTACGAAATATTGAATAAAATAAAAATAAAATTTAATAAAATAAAAAAAATCAATATATTATTTTAGAGTGAGAAAATATAAATATAAATATAATATTTTTAGATTTTATACAAGCTTAACGGACTACTCATGATCTATACGAAATAATCATAAGTTTGAGATTAAATGTATCATATTTTTAAAAGTAGGACTAAACAATTCTGAAAAATATAAATTATAATTTTGAGATTCACTCTATAATTTACGGGATTTGGTGGACCAACACATATGAACCAACTCATTTAAACTACTTAACTTATGAGAAGATACAAATTTGGAATCACTTTGATGTTAAAATTTTTAAAATTTTTTATCGATTTTTTTCAATAAAAGATATTAAAATTTATTTATATATATTTTATTAATTCTTATACTTTTAATCTTTTGTAAAAATCAGATAGGTAGATTCAAATCTTATAAAGTTATAAAATAGATTTTAAAACTTTAAAAGTTTTGGGTAAATTTTTAGCTTTTACATCAAAGTTACGGTGCTGAAAGTTGAATAAACATTACAAAATCAACGATTCGATTCAGTCTCTCATCCTTGCTCCGCGTCTGTCCCAGACCGCCGCCGCCTTACCCACTCTACCATTGGCCATTGCTTTGTGGTGTTACTTTGTAAGTTGAATTTCTTTTCACCGTTTTTCTAGGGTTTCAAATTTCACCTTTTCCAATAATCATCCTGCTTGTTTGTTATTGCTAAGCAGTACTAATCAAAATCATAATCATTATTTCTCTTATTTTGTCAAGGTACAGAAACTTGAAATGAGTGTTACGGCAAACCCAAAGAAAACTGCTGCTCCCCCGATTGTTAAGTTGAACAATGCCTTCAAATTGGTAAATTATTATCTTTTCCTGTCTTGATATGAATAGAGATTAGAGAATAAGGTTATGTACTTTATATCTATGAAGTGGTTAACCAGCCGGTGGTTAGAGACAAGTTACTTTTTAGATTCATTTAATAATTAATAATTAATGTATATGATATATTATTAGACCGAATATATTGATTGTTATGAATCTAAAAAAGTAAGTTGTTTCTTATAAATAGGACCGGAGGTCGTATTTGTTATGGTATTGATCTGCATTCGTTCAGTGATGAATGTGTTGTTAGATCTGGTTGTTATGTTTGCAGCAGGTATTGAGTAATAATAACATAGTTGTTTTCTGGAGCTTATTCTAGAGCATGATTCCCATGTTTCTTGGCAGGCTGAGGTATGGGTAAAAGGTATGAGCGGATCTGCAGATGATGAAACAACAAATGTGAATACGGAGGGAAGACCTCATAAGTCAGTATAATCACCACCATAGTTAAATTATTCGCAGTTTGGCTCCTGCAAATCTGTTTCATATATGACTGTGTTATTATGTTGGCAGGCTTGGTCTAGGTGCAAAAGTTCCACGGCAATCCAACATAGGGCTCTCGAATGACCCTGTCGAAAGGAATTTGCATGCCAAATTGGATGCTGATAAAAGAAAAGCAGCCAATATTGCCAAAGAGTCTACTCCGTTTGCAAGTGACAGTCTAGATGATGACGAAGACGACGAAGACGAAAGCAGAACTAATGCTTTTGCCAAGAGAAAGGCAGCAGTTCCTTTGACCCCGCCTATAATGGGAAATAAGAAAAGGAAGCTACACTAATATTAAACCTTTTTAATGTGCCGCTTTGTGTTATAGCATATTTTGCATCTACTTGGCTGTCATGCTGGTTTCAACACTGCAGTACTTTTCTTTTGGCTGTCATGACTGTATTTAAGCATTTCTTTTTTGGATGCATCATTTTTATTGAGGGCTTAATTGCCACTGACGTAGACAAAAATATGGTTGTAAACACATATTAACTTGCTTTATGTAAATGAGCTTTTCTTTTAATAGACAAATATTAGTGGGTTATTTTAGTTTCCAAAGTTCAAACATGAACTTCTGATCAGTGTTCTGATTAGTATTCTATCAGTGTCACCACATGTAAATAGTAGCTTGAATACATCCCTAGTATATTTTAAACACATTAAAACATCATTTTTTAGTTATTCTTCAAACATTTATTTATTTGACAGAATTCTTCAAAGGTTTTTGGTATATATATACTCCTAGAAATGGTTTTCAAATTGATACTCGCATTGGTTTTCAATTCGATTGATGCTGAACATCCCTTGAACAAGAAAGATACAGGAAAAAGAAGCAATAGCAAGAACTATAATTCACATAAACAGCTTCAAAGTTATTCCAAAAGAAAAAGACAGCTTAAAAGCATTATGCATTATCCTTGTTCCTTTATTATCACATGTTATTCACATTTCTACTTGTTCTCTTGGATACTAAGACTATGCTAAGCTGACTTCACATTTCATTATTTTCAAACACACTCAATACAATAGGTTAACCAAAAAGCAAATATACAAACTATTGTGTCAAACCAAAAAAAAAAAATCAACACACCAGGTAATGTGATCAGCAAATCAAACTTTACAAAATCTACTATCAAACCCTCACCCAAATAAAACTGTTGCTTCATCTGTTGTCATAAGAACAAATGTAATTAAGTACTTTTGCCAGAAGCAGCTACAACTTGGCTTTTTTATGGTTTCTTGTTGAGTATTTTCTTCATTCACATTATGCTATCCAATATCAGATTAGTCAGGTAAGGTTAAAGAAGCCTACGACACTCGCATTATTCTTCCTGACCAATTTTTTGTCCCCCGCATGAACTTACTTAACAGCATGCTTGAGAGAAAACCACTAAAAGTTGTCTTCTACATGTCAATGCTGTTATCATTATCTTTCACTGGAATATTAACTCTCTGTACTTTGACTCACAAGGCTCAGTATTGCATCTTCCATCAGTTCTACAAGAATGGTGTCGCTCATTTCAAAACCAACTGTTTCAGCATCGATACGAAGTTCCATCCATGTTCCATTTCTTGCCAGGTCTTTCCTAACAATTTGTTCCAGAGTATGCGGTGGCGGCAAAGGAAGGACATGCCAACATACTCCCTCCCAAACTTTGAGAATAATCTTTTTCATATTTGGTGTTGGTCTTATACTAGGATTTACAAATGATACACAAGGTGATACTCCAAAGTAATGCCAACAAACCTCCATGAGAACCTCGTTGATACTGTCGAATAGGAGCTTCTGCTCGTGGAAAAGCATGTTCGAGAAGAACTCTACCTCATCAAACAAGGAAGGATCTAGTATCTTGTTTGAGGTAAGACATTTCGTCAATAGTTGATCTTGTGTCAAACCAGAGGCATGGAAAACAACATTTATGTAGTCATATATCAATTCATCTTCTTCAAAACAACATTTTCTTCTATGAAATCGATCCATTGATGAAGTGTCTTGTTCCTCAAATCGAATTTGTAGTGATTGTACTCGCAATTTAACTGAAAATCAAGAATGAATGTGTTATCAGTTTAAAATTGTAAATAAAAAGAATTACAGATTGTCGAATCTGCATAGAATAAAGGGACAAGTTTATAATTTCTTCTTATTTTTGGATTTTGAATTCTAAGAACATAGCTAGAGGGTTTTCAAGGTTCTAGTGCAGGAATTTTACCAGGCTGACATGTGGAGTAGCCAGGATCATCATCGGAGAATGGCATATCGAGCACAGAAACCGGACTTGGTCGACCAGATACATCTGTACTACTTTCTAGCTCTTCGATTTTCTCTGGGATGGAAGAGTGAGAAGGGGAAGACAGTGGAGATGATGGTTGGTTCTCTTCTTTCACATCCTGTAAAAGAATCAAAAGACAGTTTACTTTAAATAAAATCTTACAGTTAAAAAGGCTTTGAAAGAAATCTCGAAGGGTCCATTGTAACTGGTTATACTTCGGGCATTATAGCAATTTGTTCTCAAATAAATAAATTTACATAAAAATATAATATAGTGAGGGAAATTACCTCATTCAAACATTCAGAAAATCTGGCATCATCAGGAATTTCTGAGACATTGTGATTTTGGTCCTTCCGATCAATGTAATTTGGATCCGAGGAAGATTCCAAAACATTTATATCTTCTGTGAATTTGAAATTACCTGCATAAAATTGATGAAAAGATAAGTGAAAGAATATATGTAAATGCATGCAAGCACACACACAGACCAATGTTTATAGTTTATCATAGTATCTACTATTTAAATCATAAACTTTGAACCTGTACCTTCAGCAACAATGTCATCTCTAACAGAATAACCGGCTTCAGAAGTATGAACATGACCAAGATCATGCGAGAAAGTTGACTCTGTCTCAATTTCCGGTACTTCATTAGATCTTTCATTTTCATCACAAACACTTGACCGGTTCTCTGAATTGCTTGTTTCCTGATCTGTTTGATTAATAGAGGTAGCTTGCTTGGGAGACAAGTTATCATCATTAACCTCCATAATTTTATCTGGCATGGGAAACCTCGCATGTGCAGTGCCAGTCACATAATGATGCCCCAAATTCCCTCCAGGACTTCCAAGAGGAGAAAAGTTGTACTCAGGAAGAGATAGAATTCTCCCGAGGGTTTTCGGAATCTGCCTGCTAGAAATGCTTGCGTTATCATCTCCATTTTCTAGCATCTCAGATAAGTGTTTCCTAGCCTCGACGTAAATGTTAGAAACCTTTTCCTTCTTAGAACCACTTTCACGTTCTGCATTCAATTCAGAGTCTTTCAATGTACTAGTCTTGTTTCCTTTCACAACATCAAACACAGGTCTTGCAATTTTTTCCATGAAGAAACGGTCTTTATTAGGAGAGTTCATCCCACTTTTATCTTTACCATTGGCCTTGCCTCTTGAGCCGATGTTTTCACCTTCGACGGGGAATTCGTGGCTTCCACTCTTCTCCTTTCCTATAGCATGTTTTAATTTCCTTTTTATCTCTGTAAGAGAAAAATGCGAACCAAATCTCATAGAAGAAGGACCTTTGTAAGGGACAATATCACGCATATCAGGCGATGAAGCAATATTATTTTCACTTTCAGAAATTTGCATGCCCGTTGTTGCAGGTTTCAGAATGACAATTCGATTTGGAACCTCAGTTTTCACAATTTTATTTGTTGGAACTTTTGATTGAGACTTCACCTTTTTCCAGAAAAACTTACGATGCTTTCGGTTGACAATCTCCCTGGTTTCTTTTAGACTGCGAAGATCTTGTTTGCGAAGGTCTTGTTCGGAGAAGTTGGAGTCAGCAACAGAATTGAATCCTTTTTCACTTCTCCCTCGAGCATTCTCCAACTCCTGCATATATTTCAGTAAGTGTGAATTCGGATCTTGTAGAAGTCTAAGAAACAATTCCTTATCCGAACTTATGACCTGAAGTGTTTCCATGAGTTCATGCGAGCAAAGGAGTTTCTCATCTTCTACAAGATCTTTCCCACTCAATATCTTCTGATTCACAAAATCATGAATCGCATCTCGTGCAAGTGCTTCAGAATTGGCGTTCTTTTGGTTCGATTGAGCATTAACTTTGCTATCATCATCACCATCGTCATTCATCAAGGAACAAGCTTGTTCGATTTGACAAAAATCTTCCATTATCTTGTCCAAATCTAGATTATCTCTCGATAGTTGCTTTAAGCGCTGATTATCCGAGAATTCAGATTTCAAAGTCACATTCTGATCATTAGTATCCATATCTCGGCTTTTCTTGCGCGAGTTTCTCTTTCTTTTGGAATCTGTCGTTGGGGAATCTCGAGACCCTAATTCGGTTCGCTTTGATCCTACATTATTACTTTGACCCTTTACTTCATCCCGGTCAATGAACATCTCTTCTTCTATGAGTTTCTTTACACTAACCTTGTCAGCATCTGTTTTCACTGTTAGTCTCTTACTCTCTCCTCTGTCCTGAAACCTCGATGATACAGTTATATCAACAAACGACTATGCATAACGTAAGAAAATTATAATCTAATGTAACTTTTGCTCAATTCTCATGCATTTAAACTCAAAAATTGTTGCTGAAAGAAAAACCATCGAGATTTGGCAAGCATATATGGACTAACAAACTTACAAAATTAACTTGATATTCTTCATCCAAATCGCTCAACGCCTCGAATTTGTTCTTGGTAGGTACAGCCTCTATAGAAACAGAAAAGTGAAAATCTGATGATATATTTAACATACATTACAGACATTAATTTGGAAGTAAAAACTCAAACATTAATTTCATTAAAACATTACCTAGAGCATGCTTGTTGTTGTGCCTCTTATCTGCAATCAATTTCCGAGTAAAGCGGGCGTGACGAAAATCAAACATACTAATAAATCCCCACATACAACCTGACTGATCTTTCTCATACTGCACAGGGAATCGTTGAGACCTCTTGGCCATATTGATGCTTGTTGTTGAATCTTTTCTCTTTACCCTTTCCTTCGGATGCTAATAAGGTGATCTTCGATCTTTGTTGACTATGTTCATACAAAACTCCTCAGTGGTAAAATTTTGCATAACCTGATAGATGGACAACATTCAAAACTCCTCAGGGATACATTTGGGCAGGCCTGAGTGAATCGAAAAAGGGATAGCCGCGCAGTTTGATGCTAGTTTGTTTTATTATATATACTTGTAAAAATGCTTCATCATTTTTGTGAGCGACACCCTAACCAGAAGGGACTATGCAGACCAAACTAATGTCTTCATGCTAACAAGTTTGTTTAAATCACTAAATAAAAAAACCTAGCCAGACTTAGACTCAATAACATACTCCATCTAGACTTGAAAAGTTAATCAATCTGATCCATATTCGGACCAAATTCGGCTTATAATTTGGCCGTAGTAGTTTATATTTTAGTCATCTCAATTGTCAACTCCTCATGGCACAAAAGTTTGAGTCAGAAAATGGAAAAATATGAAACTAAACCAAGTTCTTAATAACATACATATGTAAAAAAAGACTGAAAATTATGAAAGCTAAAACTAAGTACCTGTTGTTAAAGGACTCTTTTTGTGTGATCAAGCTGAAAGAGTAAAAGAAAGCATCTATGAATTCCAATTTCAGTCCCTTGTGAAGCTCTCTATCTATGGCAATATAAGTTTCCTTTGGATAGAAAGGTGCACCAATGGCTTTTTTTTTTGGTTCATGCACAGACCTTAATGATCAACTCAAATTTCAAAGAAAAAGCTGAAAATTTCAGTTATCCACTCTTTCCAGAAAAGGAAAGTGAAATTGAGACAATCAACAACAGATTTACAGCTCACAAGTTCAGAGATTCCAGAAAAAAAAGTGAATGATTAAACTTAACGAAAAAGTTTGATAATCACAAAGAAAAAGCTTCAAACACACAAAAGCTTAGCACCAACCAACTGAAACAGAACTCAATGATTTCTGAATAACAGAATTGTTGTTGATAAAATAAAAATGCCTTGAGAAACAGAAAAACTATGAAGCTGTTTCAAGGTTTGGCAGACAATAGAGAAAGAAAAAAAAGGAAGGTTTTTTCAACTGGGTATGGTTTTGACAGATAGAAAGGGAAGAAAAATGGAAACTCGCACCGACCGAGCAGTGGGAAAAAAGTGAAAAAGAGAGAGAGGGGTGGAAGGTGTTGAAGACAGACAAGGTTGGTATTGTTTGAAGGACAGAAAAAGAAGAAAAGGGCACTAACATTAAGGTGGTATCCTACGTATGTGGGTCCATGTTCCACATATAACTTTTGTACAATTTGAATGCTTTATTCATGACATGATGTGATTGTAATTGGATTTTACCTAACAAAATTGTTCAAATTCAATTAATGTGCAATTCTGTATTACATAAGTGTAGTTAACTTTTAAGATTGTTAGTACTATAAAATAAAGTATGATATAATCATATCAAATTTGACTATAAATTAGGTAAGTTGCCAAATTTTATTTCCAACTGATTTTAGACAATTGATATTGATTTAAGGATTTAAAACAAAAAAATATATGTTTTGAGAAAATTTAATTTTTCATACCTAACTAACTACTATACCTCATACTTATACGTAAATTGAATTTAATTTATCTAATTGAGTGAAATAATTCATTTATTTATATTTATGTAGTAATATAGACAAATTAATATAAATAAGTTATTGGTATTTATAAATTAAAATTAAAATAAAAAAATAAAATTGTGATCAATTCAATTGAATATTTAATTAATTTAAATTACGTTAAAATTGAAATGTTGTGATTAATTATATAATTAAATTAAACATAATTTAAGATGTGAATTAAAATATTTATTTATTTAATTAAATTATATATATATATATATATATATATATATATATATATATATATATATATATATATATATATATATATATATATATATATATATATATATATATATATATATATATATATATATATATATATATATATATATATATATATATATATATATATATATATATATATATATATATATATATATATATATATATATATATATATATATATATATATATATATATATATATATATATATATATATATATATATATATATATATATATATATATATATATATATATATATATATATATATATATATATATATATATATATATATATATATATATATATATATATATATATATATTACAAAGTCAACTTCTTGACTTAAAAATAGAAAATGTCGCATCAATTAGACTTTATACAAATAAAACTCTAAATATTTGTAAAAAATATTATTAATTCTTTGTATAGAAATATTTCTTATCTAAAAATTGGATAGAAGCGCGTCTATTGCTTGGTTACCTAAAAAATTGATCAAAGAGAGCTCCAAGGGAAGAATTTCATATTATTTTTTATTTATAATTTTATATTAATATCAATTATCGATTGAAATAAAATTAAAATAATAAAGAATTAAATAATTTTTTATATATTTTTTTAATTTAATAATTTATTTAAACTTTTTTCTAATTTTATATTCTTAATTTATTTGAATTTTTTTTAATTTTATAGAGATGGTCATTATTAAAATAAATAAAAGTGGATAAAATAAGAGTTTATTAAAAGTTAAATAAAAAAAGAGAGAAAAAGTAAATTTTTTGGTGTGTCTAAATCAAATGAATTAAATTTCTATTTACACAAAAAAAAAATGAATTTTTATGAAAATAAAAATAAATAAAATATTTAATTTATTATAAAATAATTGATTCCAAATAATTAAGGTAAATCTAAACAATCACCACAACTAATAAAATTTTACAAAATATTATACGTGACTTCAGTCGCTTCTCATTCAACATGTTGAATATTTTCAACACATATTAATTCACCTTATTTTTAACTCTTTATTCAACATCCCATATACATATTTAACTATTTAATAATTTTTTTAACATCTCAATTCATATTACTTTATTAATAATTTTTTTAACATCTCAATTCATATTACTTTATTACATATCATATTTTTAAATTTAATCACTTTTAAATGATTTAATATTAGTTACTAGTTAGTATATTCATTTAATTTAATAACTAGCCAGACATTTGACATGTTTATCATTAAACAATGGGAACAGGCCAACATTCAACAAATCTATTTTGTCTTATTGAAATTCAACAAATGTGTTTTGAGTAGACATTCTATTTTAACTTATCTATGAATAAATAAATTAGAAGGAAAATTGTTTATGAAATACTATCAGTTCAGTGATAGATATTTTAATTAAAATATATATTGTTTAAATTGCGTCCATAATTTAAAATAATTGTTAATATTATTTAATAATTATAATTATTTTTCTTTTCAAATTAAAAATAAAAGAAAAATTGTACTAGTAGGAAACAATGCGCGTGCGTGGCGAATATTGCCAATGAGGAAACAAGTTGCAATAGGTAACGTACAGAATTTTAATTTGACTCTAATTTTATGGATGTTGCTTTTAAAAATATCTTATACTTTCATTTCAATAATATATTGTTTTTTAAATAAATTGGAAAATACACGACTTTATTATAGTAATTAAATGATATAACAATATATCATAAAATATGTACACAAATTTTATTTTTTTAAAAGCTCTCATATTATATATGATCCCCCCTACAAAAAATTAACGTAACATTAGCATGGAAAACATGTTCAGAGATGTGAATTCCTCTTGAACCATTGATCCAATAAAGTTGATCATTACCCACCAGATTAGTAGTTGCTCAAGACAAATATTAGCAACTTTTTCACCTAGCACTTTGGCAATAACTTTTACCTTAAAATTGGCTATGGATATAAGTTTATATTGATCGTTTTTATGTGCATTATACATTTTAGGAATAAGAACTACGATATTATTATTATTGTTAAGAAATGTGATTAGATCTAATTCATCTCTACAAAACTGTCTCACATAAGATAATATATAGTTCGAATATGTCTTTATAAGTGAGGACAATTCTCATTCTACAAAATTAGATTGTAGGGTGAGGATTTCCCTCACTTATAAAGACATGTTCATTCCATATAATCTCTAATGTGAGACTCTTAACACACCCTCATACCTAGAACTAGTCAAATAAAGCATGGTAATAAATAGTGGGTGACCCGATAGCAGAAACCTGATAGCAGGTAGGTGGTGCAACAGATCTTAAAGCAGGCTCTTTATACCATGTTAAGAAATGTGGTTAGCCCTAACTCACTCATACAAAATCAGTTTGTAGGATGAAAATTACCCCCACTTATAAAGACGTGTTCTAGCCATAAATTATTTGATATGGAATATATTGTTTGATATGGAACTTTTAACAATTATACTTAGAAGGCGTCCATTTAGTTTAGAAAAATTAAACATGTGCCTCAAATATTTCATTGCTAACAATTTCATAAAAATATTGGAAAAAATAAGCACCAAACTCATCGGTTTCTGGAGTTCCATTAGTGTTCATGGAAAAAAAATTATATTTCTCTCGTCCTCTTTACTAGAAATACTATTAAGCATATTATCCTCGAGATTAGTCAATAGATTGTCATTATGCATAATATAGGTAATTTTCCTAATAACATGTTTTAATTTAGCAACCTCGTAGAAGTAAAAAGTGTTAGATGCCTTCTTGTATATACCACGTCACCTAGAATTTTTCATATCAATACACATTCTCCATATTTAATGTCTCTTCTAGAGTTGGGCACCTTCTAAGTTTGCGGTGTTCTCTTGATAGTTACTTTAGGAGAAGTTGCCAACTAGGCAAAGCTTTATGAGGCGTAAAATCAGAGACTAGTCTTGGGGGTGTTATGTGTGCGATGGGAAAATAGAGTCAGTGGATCATCTATTTATTTTGTGTGAGGTGACATCAGACATTTGGTTAGAGTCTTTAGGTGGTTTGTAAGGCCAGTGCCTTTGCCTTGTTTGATCTTATGGGTTTACTGAGTTGGTTCAGGGTTTTGCTTTTGGAAAGTATACGTCTTTAGGCTTGCTCAATTTAGTATTTTGTGGTCTGTATAATATGGAAAATGAGAAATAAAATTATTTTTTGTTAGGAAAGCTTGACAATTAATCACTTGATGTTTTTGATTATTAGTTTGGTGCGGAAGTGAATTTGAGTCCATGCTTTTGGTCTTGACATTTCTTTGATTGACTGGGAGTAATACCTGCTTAAGTGGACGAGCAGTTAGGGGTGGTTATCCTCCTTTTGTTTTGCGCAGGTGTTTGATGTTGTCTTCCCCCAACTTGCTCTCTCTAGAGGTCTGTCATGTCAAAGACTATTTTTTTTGTTCTTTTGATTTGTTTGTTTGGTTTTCCTTTGTCGGTGACTTTTTCTTTGGCTTTTATGTTTATTTTTGACTTGAATGGTTGTTAAGACTGTTGTCCTTGCATCACCCTTGCACACTTCTGATGCTTTTAATTACTTTTGTACTTTATGTTACTTTTTTTATTTAACTTTTTTAATTAATATATGATTCTACTTTGCTATTAAAATAAATCTCCTCTAAAACAACATGAGCATCCTTTTCTGGTTCTCTAAGACTAACAGAAAAGTAATGAACATCAATCTAACATTCAACCTAGTCAAGAGTTTCAATAGCTTGTTGTACACTAATATATATATGTTGCCAAAGCATGTGTATTCTAGTCTTTTAACTTTAACTAATTTTTTTAAACTTGTTTCTTAACAACACCAAGGGACATCAATGATCCTCTCTTGCCAAATATTCTTGACCACATTAGCACAATCAAGATGAGAAGTCCATATTTTCAAAATTTTAAAAGTGGTGATGATGTGTCTAGTATGATTAACCTCAAAGTTCAATAACATAGAAGAAAGATCAAAATAATGCTTAGTAAAAGTGTTGCAAGTGAAAATATTTCAAGCCTTTAATCACTTATGACAACGTATGTCAAAACTCTTTTCAGTGAATTGAATAAGATCATTATTATTCATCCAATGTTAGAAATCCTCCATGAAAGATCTTGATGGTCTCTATACTCATGAGCTCCAAAGACAATTTTTTTTATAAGCAAAAACTTGTATTATAAAATAGTACAACGGGTACTCAACCATACAAGAGAGAACAAACAAGGAATGTCAACAAAAACAAAACCTAAATAGAAGGAACTAAGTCATTGTTTCTCAAGACATTCCAAAGGTCTATTGCACCAATCTTCCCAAGAGAAAATTTCAGCACCTTTAGTTCTAGAAACAAACCAATTCCAAGAAAAAAATTTGGCCCTATGTATCACCTCGATGACACGAATAACAATCGCTTTAAAAATAATTTCATTCCTGCATAACCAAACAACCCAACAAACTGCAAGCCAAATCAACATACGAGTATTCTTATGCACTTTACCTTTGAGCATCAAACCAAAACTATTGAAATTGGTGCTCGTAGCATCCACTTCAAAAAAAAGGCAAGTTCAACCATCTATAAATATGTTCCCAAACCTGAGCAACTAGAATAAAATCGAAGAAAAAATGGTAAATGGATTCTTCCATATCATAACAAAAAGGGAAAAAGAGAACTATGCAGCCTGGACATA